ATCTAGTGACAAGAAAAAAGCATACTTTTAATAGCTAAACTCAACGTTGCACGCGACATGCAACAAACTAAGTCTAATAGAAACAAATTACTCACGTGTGGAATACTAACTTATTTCAAGATAATTCGAGACAACGTACAATCAAAGACCAGAGAAAATCATTGAAAAAGAAAAGGGAAAGGAAAAACTCAGTGACAAGAAGAAGTAGGTAAAAGTCAACGTGCACGCAGCATGCGACGAACTGAATGGAAAGTGAAAATGAGTGAGTATCGTTACCTAGGGGTCCCTTCGACTTCCAGAGTCCCTTGATCAGCGTGGGGTCGCCGCGGCGCCAGTCGCGCCACCCTCGGCCCCGACGAGCCGGGCCTCCAGACCAACTTGGTCCGCCGCCGGCGGCACCACCACCGGCCCCACCGCCGGTACTTCCCCCGGTCACACCAAAACCAACACCGGCGGCGCCGGTGCCAGAGCCAGAGATACCACCGCCAGCGACACCAAGAGTGCTGCTCGCGCCACTGCCAGCTGTGCCACCGCCGGGGCCCGGGGTGCTCGGCGATCCAGCCTGCGGCTGTCCATGGCCCCCCGCCGCCCCGCCACCTCCTTGTGGCAACGGCAATCCCGCCGCTTTTATTTTTTATATCCAAAGCAGCGTGAAAAACCAACATACGCCCATCAAATTATCATTGTGCAGATTTGACTCTTTAGTCGGTGTCTTCTTCTTCTTTTTTTTTTTTTTTTTTTTGAAGGGGAGGGAGAGCGTATACGTCTGACGATTTTGAGATAGCATTTTGATTTAGCAGCTAAAAGTCACGTTAGATATTTGGGAGCAAGTTTCCACCAAGTTCATTATTGTGAACTTCAACTAATTTCAGATTCAACTCTGTTACGAATGAAAATTCATTAAATGGAACACTCCAAACTTCATCGATGTTGTTTGAGAGTTAATTGTAGTTGATTAATTACTTGAATGATCTCGTTTCTGTGCTACAGTGGTAAATAAATGGGGAAACACTCGATGCGAAGATTTGCATATTCATAGCTGATTACAACCCGTTGAACTGACTGAAATTTGTAAGATACTTGAAAATGTATCACAAGTAGCTTAAGGAATCATCAAGCAAAGGGTTAAGTTAGAGAGAAGTTATTATAGTTCTTAGCAGTGGATGTATGTATATTTGAACGACCAATAAAGTCGACAATAATTGTTCTGGTGGAGAGAGTTGGGATAAGTTCCCGGAACAATATGACACTTTGGAATATTAATCAAAGTAAAGCATAACTAATTGGGTGGCTAGAACTCGCTGAACTTTGAGAAGATACTCTACGATAATGTCAAACAGTATTTTCGACACGGGGCACGTAGTATTTATCTACACCATTTTGGTCAAATTGAAAAGAGAAATAGAATCATTATAAAATAAAGTATTTCCACGTTATTAAATACGAATAAATTTAAAATTTGTATCAGTGATTTCGTAATTTGAAAAATTACGAATTTCACTGAAGAATATCCGACACATTTTTCCCGCTAAATCGAGAAACAGTTTACAAAATCGTTAGGTGTATACGCCTAACGTAATGGGTTAAATCGATGGGAAGAAAATTGTCGTTAGATGGGATCGTGCGGCTTTGATCACTGCGATAGCAGTTGATTTCGCTGCCAGGTAAATTTATTCGATAAAGAAAAGTGTCTCGCGAGCGTAACTCGAATTTCCATGCAAAGAGATCGTTATGCCTCATTTGCCGTTGACGATAAACACAATAAATTCCCCGAATAAATTTACCGGGCGTTTCTAGAATCTCTCAGTGCCAGTTTATTTGCATGCAGAACCGCTAAGAAGATAAGGAAAAAAAATTCTATTTTGCAGTGTGAATTAGAAATGAAATTCATTTCACCCGGGAACGTTTGCACGTTCGTCACTGAAATTTTCACGGCACCGTTAACGCATACCTGTTGATGGTCACACAAAAACATTAATTTTATCATACCAAAAAGTGGCGCAAAATATTGAAAGAGAAATAGATTTGCGTAACTTGGTATTCCTCTATCAAAAATATAAATTATCCTGTCGTATATCGAATCAACAGCAGAATAATATATTTCGATGA